AATTGTATAGCTTGTGTAATTTATTCTGAGATCGCCATGAAAATAGCCTTGATGCTGGCATGGCGTTAAAAGGTGAATAAATAATAAATAATAACATTCCAAAAACACATTGATTAAAATTAAACTACTCAAATCACCTGTCCATAAAAGTGCTCGATTTCATGTCAAAACCAAGGCCCTTTTTCGTAAATAGTAGGGTACAACGGGGCTAAAGATATTATATTATAAAATATATGTAATATATATTATATTAATATCTTCTATTCTATTTATAATCTTGTAAACCACCGGATGGCAGAAGCACTTGGCGTAGCACTTCTGACTTTGGGCTCTGTCTTTACATTTATTTTGAAAGATGAAGCTCGCGATTATGGTAAGGGGCGTTACATTTCTGACGAGTGCTTGTGGTGTTCGGCCAATCACAATGCACTGGGTCAGCTGGCCAATCAGAGCAGACTGCGCTTGTCGGAAGGAGGGACTTTGTAGAAAACGAAGCGTTTGAGAGAGGCGGGGCATAGAGGACCTACAATAATGTACAGTATTTGAAAAATAATGTGTTTTTTGAACATTAAAGCATGTCAACCTATTCTGTTACACCAAATACACAAAATAATGATCTTTAAAAAAGCATAATATGACCCCTTTAATACAGTGGTCTCTAACTCAGTTCCTGGAGGGCCTCAGCTCTGCAGAGTTTAGCTCCAAATCACACCTGCTTGGAAGCTTCTAGTAATCCTGTAGAGCTTGATTAGCTGGATCAGGTGTGTTTGATTAGGGTTGGAGCTAAACTGTGTGGAGCTGTGGCCCTCCAGGAATTGAGTTTGAGACCAATGCCCTTAATATAAAGCTAGTCTCATAATTAGAACAAATTGGATTATGCACTTTCCCCACAGCAGCTCACTCTGTGTCCTCTGCTATTTTTCAGATGTGCTTGTATCAAACGATTGAATCGATATAAACAGTATTACCTCATTCCACATCATTCACAAAAATATCTATATATTGTACAAACTCTATATGCTTGTATACAGCCTTAGTTGATCACAAAAATAGCCAAGGGTCAAGAGCCCAACTAAAGCAAGCGCTTACCTCCATAACGGTGACTTCAAACTTTATTATTTTCAATAAAACAGCGCTAAGGCTTCCTGGAGGCTAAGTGAGGGCTGCCCGTGCAGGGCCAGTGCTAAGGGGCCAACGTTTTGCCAATGAGCAAATTCTCAGGAGCCCTGCACTGGCAGCCCTAAGTGGGCCCGTAAAGGGCCAGTGCAGGTTTGTTTACAGGGAGGTCTGGCTGACTTCCTGCCCGTCATGAAGCTGTTTGACCTGCTGTACCCTGAGAAAGAGGTGAGTGACTCTGCTGTGGCTTTCATTTAAGCGGCACACGGCGGCCTGTGAAAGCTTCACGGATTCATAATGTGACGCTCTAAACATGCTGTTGGTTGAGGTCATCTGAACAAGGCTTTATTTAGTGCTAGCAGGCCCTGCTAAACTCTTTTATTTAGCCGGTCAAAAACTGAACGCGGCTGCTCAATGCAGCGTGCCGAATGACAGTCGCATCACAGATCAGATTTCATTTATCCAGTGAGGAGAGTGAGGTGAGACAGACAAGACGATCGCGGATGATTTAGTTTAGAAATGAAATGCAAAAGCGCCTGCTTGGCAATATTTTGTATTTTAAAAAGCCTGTTGACTTTTGCCGTTTATCTAAGGTGATTTTGGACGTTTTTTTCATTCGTTCGAAACATTCGTTTCTTATTTAATTGGTTCCACAATGTTTGCTGATTTTTACTTTATTTAAACTGTAATTTATTTATTTTATTTGACATCAATGTATGCCGTGCATCCAAGCTTTCTTATTCATTTTGGTAATAAATTTGGTTCCACAGTGTTTGCTGATTTTCAGTTTTGTGTACCTAGGCTATTTAAACTTTGTGTAAGTTATTTGTGAGCCTATTTTATATTAGGCATCGCATATAGAATAGTGTATTTTGATTTGATTTGTTAATAAAAGTTCTATGATTTATATACAGGCCAAGTTGAGTTTGAAGTTGTATTTTGTTGCTGCTTGAATTGACGCCGAATTGCCGCTAGTTCAAAAGTGAAAGTAACATTTAAAGTAAATTTTAAGCTATTTAAAAGCGATGTAAAGCGAGGAAAAGAGGGAAAACACAAACAATTGCTTTATGCCGAATTGCCACTAATTTGAAAGTGAAAGTAACATGCGCACCATGAATCCACGTTTTTGAACGAATCAAGTGAGTCAATGATTCAGTAACCCATTCATGAAGACAGTAGTCACTTGCCTCGTTTCTGAATGAATCAGTCGTTTGAACGAATCTGTTTAATGAAGGACTTTATGACTCACTCATTCAAACAAACAGTCATTTGCCGCCACCTACTGGTTTGGTGTCATATTTAAAACTATCATTTCATTTTTCCAATCATTTCTTATTTGTCTGTTTAAAAATATTTAAAACATTAATCTTATAAAATTCTTTATGCATTAAACATTTTGCAGTGTAAATGCATTTATGGCACCTCTGCTTCATCAAACAGTCTGTGTAAATACATCTAATGCCACTTCAGATGCAGCTTCTGTGTTTGCTGCAGTGGAAAGATGGAGTTTGTTGATACTGATTTCATTTGAATGGTAACAACAGGTCAGTGAAAAAATGGGAAACAATGGGAAATGACATCTGTTTTGTTAAATAGTACAGCAACTCCTTTTCAGTTAATTGTTATTTCTACCTCTTTTCTAGTCACAGATCACTTTATTTTCAGAGTTGTTTAAGTGAGAGAACATCTGTAACTTTGTCCAGATTGGGGGAACTGTAATGTTTTACAGTTAAACATTTTTTATTATGTAAATATATATATATATATATATATTTTTTTGCATTAAAAAATAGTATGGATTTCCGTTTGTATATGCTGTCAATTATATTTTTTAGAAAGAAAATCGGAATCGGCAAAAAATCGGTATCGACAGGTCACACTTACAAAACTTGGAAATCGGAACCGGCCAAGAAAATTGCAATCGGTGCATCTCTAATAGAAATGGAACAATTTAATGTTTGCTCAAGCACTTGAGTCAAGTTCTTGGTTTCATTTTTTTAACTCTTTTTAACAGTTTTAACTTCTAGCAAATATGACTCTGATGTTTTTCTTGTAACTTTATACCTTCATTACGTCTCGGCGCTTCATGAGAACCGATAATAGCCTTCAATTTGCAGCCAGCAAGTGTATTGATTCTCCTCACACTGCCTTGTTGCTGTGTTATTGAGCAAATCAAAGCTGTAATTTAAGTGTTACCTCTGGAAAACATGGATTGCATTTGAAGAGCATTTGTATCAGAGTGGAATAAATTACAGTAAATTGCCTGGCCTGGAAATCAGATGAATTGCCAGGTTGAATTGTAAAATAATGCGTTATTCAAAGCCTGTCAAGGTGGTACACAATTAAATGAGCTCTTATTTACCTGTTCATGTGAATAGCGGGACCAGCAGCGCTGGGCTGATCCGCAGTGACTACACATTAAGTTCACACCCTTTAATTGAGGGTGATAGATGATTAGAAAACATCTAAACAGACAAAACACACAGTAGACAAAATATTAGCAAAAACAAGGATTTTTTTTTTTTTTTTAGGATTTCCAAATGCTTGTGTGAGAAGGAAAAGTCAGAATAGACAGAGGTGTTGCTCCAGGATTTGTCAAAAGACTCAATGTCTTGTCTTGCCTAAGATCCCTTCTACACGTACCTTAGGGAGCATATTACTGTTTGAATCAGTCTGTGGAACATTTTAGCTGCTCAGTGGACGTTCTGATTCAGTGCCTGTTCTCACATGTTCTCAAACCAGAACATGTTCACCCCTCTCTGTCCCTCAATTAGGATCACTGCAGGAGGGTTGCATTTGAAGATTCAGCTTCACATGAGCATACTTGCTCAAAAGTCACTGTATGGGTGCTTGTTGTTTTGCTATTTCTTTCTTTATCTTTTACATTCCAGTGGCGGTCTGTGAGAGATTTCTTTGTGAGCCATATTTGTAAATCAAACAAATAAAATAAATAATTTTATTCAGCAACGACAGTAACGACGTTCCCATTGTTACAAAAAATAAATCAATCAATCAATATCACGT